AAAGGTAAATGATGTGGCACAATGAGGTTTGAGAATTTCTCGAATCTTGAATTGTGATGTTAAGTTGATTATCCCACATTGATAGATGGAAGAAAGTTTCACAAATCCCACATTGGATTTAGTCATTGTTTTCCAAAAAAAAAAATCTTTAATTAAACTAATAGAGTTGAATCATTTTAGCCCAATCCATTTTTGCAAAAAAATGTATTTATTTGTTAAATATAACCAAGTTTAAGACAAATGTTAATAGTATAAAAAGGAGGAGATAATTAATTGAAATTTGAAAAAAAAATTGGTTGGTTAAATTTTAAAATATTAGTCACCCTTTTCTAAAAAAATCTTTGATTAAACTAATAGAGTTGAATCATTTTAGCCTAATCTTTCTTAACGAAAAAGATATATTTATTTGTTAAATATAACCAAGTGTAATTAATGATGCGTATGTTGTTTGAGAATTTCTTAAATCTTTGATTGTGGTGGTAAGTTGAAAACATAATCCCACAATGATAGAAACAAAATAGATTCACAAATAGTATGAGTTTACAATAAGGAGATGCTAAATTGAAACTCGAAAATCTTTGACTGTAATTTTTGACATTTAGCCACCATCTTAAGTTTTTCAAATATTTCATTGGAATATTGAATTGATTGATAAAGTGAATAAAGTTTGACAAACATTACAAGTATACAAGGAGAGGATAATGAATCATAAAGTTTCATAAAAAATATATTTTAGTGCAGGTTGGAGATGGTGCAAGTAAACAAAAAAAAATATTCACATGTAATTTTTTCATAAAATGAACACAAAAATATGTAAAATAATACCTTAAATCATAGTTTTTGAAGAAAAACATAATGAAAAAACTTTATTTTTTATATCATTTCATACAAATTTGCAACCTTTTTGTGGTTCTTATTTGATCATCAACCCCCCCCCCCCCCCCCCCCCACACATATATCTTCATTTCTCTCTGCATAATTTAAAATTTAGTGACGATAAATAGTATTAATTGATCTATATTTATTAATTTACATCGACTTCAAACTTATAAAATGCAACATGTCTCTCCACGTAATATATATATATATATATATATATATATATAAATAAATTTCACTAATTAGATTTTATTAACTTTTTTGAATTATTTGAATTTTATTTGTTGATAATTCTATTAACAACTAACATATATTTATATAGATAATCTTCGGATTAATAATCAAAGTACTCATTCTACCGCGCAACGCGCGGTTCACACACTAGTAATTCATAAAAGGAAGTTATTCGAGTATTCCTAAATGTAAAAAAACTAAGGGCCAAAGAACTGAAATCTCATTTGAAGTTTACCATGCACGAGTCCTTCCCTTTGTGCGTTATTGCATAACAACATAAGCCTCATCTGAATTTTGTAAAGTGCGACATTGATGCTGCCATGTTAGATGATACGTCGTACGCAAGACTAGTTGCGATGTTCCGCAATGATAAAATGAGAAATTCTTAGTTGCTCAAACATGTACGTGTATGGCGTCTCACTAGTCAAGGAATGTGAGGCTCTTGTACTTGTTGAAGTTGTGTTTTAATCAACTGAACTTAGGTTTCACATGGTAATCAAATACCAAACAAGTTGTAGATGTTATCTCTTGCTACAGAGAACGTTGTTTCTGAATTTGGTGATATTATCTCGCGGTGTTGGACTTTGCTCCTCCAACATGACTCTTATTATGTCTCCTTCATTACACGACAAGCTAATGACGATTGCTCATGCTTTGACTCATAAATCGTATACCTCTTCTTGTCCCACTATTTATTAATATATCGAGTTTCTTTTTCCTTTTTCTATGAACATTCATTGCCCTTTCGAGGCCTCATAAATAAATAAATTATTTTTTGAATTAAAAAAAAACTAAGGGCCTTAGACATTATTGTCTACTAGATTTTTTTTATTAACCTACATATCCAATCCGTTATGTGAGCCGATTAATCTCAAGGTGACCACTTGCTTTGCGGGTAGTCTAGAGTCATCGCATTTGAATTTCTGTGACCACAAGCGAATTTTTTATTCCTCATTGGACTCGAACCTGAAACCTCCAGACACTTTTGACCTTTGAAGTTCAAGTTTAAACCAATGAGACACCACTCTTAATAGTTTACTAAATTTTTTTAGGATCTACTAATATTTTTGGACTACTATAATTATAATACCATATACTAAAAAAGTATTTAGGCCACCTATTTTCTCTTGTCTCTTAACGCTTGTTCGTCCCACCCTTCCCTAAAAACGACCATGGCTCTTATTCTACAAGAGGAAAGCTTGACATCTTAAAAAATCTTCTTTAAAAACGATCTATTATCTTAGTTATTGGTTTTAGCATAATTTTGCATCCCGTTACAATATTACATTATACGGATATATAACTAATTATATTATACTATTTCTAGTATAAATTAGAAACCAATTATTATGATCAAGTATAATCGATCAATGCATATCACTTCAAATTCAAGGTATGTTTTAATTATGGATATAACTTCTTAAACTGTCATTTTTGAACTCATATCTACACTATATTATAAAGCATTTAGATTTTATTTAGTAAAAACTCTTAATTTTTCAAGATTACAACTATTTAAAGCATTATGTACAAACCAATGATGCATATAAAGTCTTTTATTTTATTTTTATAATATTTTACCCATTTCAGAATGGAAACTTGAAATTTGTTTAAAAACTCATGGCATCTTTTCTATATGAACTCATCAAATTTTAAAAACCCACGTATTTTTCACAAGTTTAAATAAAAATCTAAATATTTTAAATATAATAATTTTTAAAGATAAAATACACGAAATAACAACTTACTTCTATAAATTTTTTTATTATAGCATTGTACTTTAAGTTTTTTTTTATTACAATAATGTGTTTTTAAAATAGTTTTTATTAGGGCATCGTACTTTAAAAAATTTACCCGTTATAGCATTGGGTAACCTTTTAAATAAATTTATCCATTATACCAGGTCTCTTCGCCACCTCATCATCCATGTAGGCTGTCCACATATACGATAATGCTGACATGACATTTCTTATCATAACATTGTACTTTCAAAGTTACTTTATTATAACAACATCAATTTACTGAAAGGGGAAAGTTCCGCAGGCAATTTTATAAATGCAATAAAAACGGAACCGTTACAAAGCTAATCAGCAAGAAAAACTACGACAACTTTGACTCACAAACCAAGCCATAAGAAGCCAAAAATGACAAAGAAAAGTACACCAAAACATAAAAATAAAGCAAGCCGAAGAATAAAAGGCGGAAAAAACCCACAATTTCCCAAACCGAGAAGCAACACCACCCACAAAATCACACAGCATTTGTTGTCGTCAGCTTCTTCCTWGTCTTCCAAGCCATACGTTGAAGAATCTGCATCTTGATCTCCGCTACAACTTTGTCCCCAGTATGATTGAAGTTGTCAAAAAACTTCCTGTTTCTTTCCCTCCARATATGGTATCCCGTGGCCGATATACCAAGTTTTTGAACCGTAGACCAAGATTTCCATCTTTRAGCTAAACCCCTGTTAAGAATATCCTCCCAATTGTTCAAACAGTTCGTTAACCCCACCTCCTTTTTAATAACTTCTCAAATACTACTTGAGTAATTGCATTCGAAAAATAAGTGATTGTGCGTTTCAATCACTAATTTACAAAACACACATTTCAAATCTGGTGGTTCATGCTTCCACTGACTGATGCGATCTTGTGTTGGTAATTTATTCTGACAGGCCATCCACATGCAAAGAGCATGTTTAGGTATGTATGCTTTATTCCATACCAGTTTGTACTAATGCACAATCGTCCTCACTTCTTGAACAGTTTGCCATGCCACTTTGACCTCAAATTTTCCCCGAGAAAGTTTAGCATCAAGCCATCTGACCGTATCCTCCATTTGGCTGGGAGAAGGTATCATAATACTTTGCAGTTGAGGGTATTGTTGTATCCATTCCACCGGCCAGTTAGTGCCAAAAAGTTGCATTACATCAGAAACCGTGGAGTTATTACGAAAGCCATGACCATTTGTGAATCTATAAGACAGTAAGTGAATAAGAGGACCAAAGTCACTCCACGTATCTTCCCAGACATGCGTAAATAAACCATTTCCCACATTGTAAATAAAAAAACGCCTGCAATGTTACAACATTATACTTTTAATTTTAATAAATGTCATGTAAGTACTGTCGTACATGTGAACAACCTACGTGGACGGGTGAGGTGGCAAAGAAACATGGTATAATGGTTAAATTTAATTTAAAAGGTTACCCAATGCTATAACGGGTAAATTTTTTGAAAGTACGATGCTTTAATAAAAAATATTTTGAAAGTACATTGTTGTAATAAAAAAAATTAAAAATACAATGCTATAATAAAGAATTTTGTAAAAGTAGGTTGCTACGCATTTTGCTCTAATTTTTAGTTGAACAAATTATATCAAAAAGCGGGTATTTTATTCTCATTTTAATTTGATACCTATATTGATATATGTTTTTCTAAATTATTAACCCAATTTTCAATTTCAGTTATAAGTAAATTCATACAATATACAACATTTACAATTTATTAATACGTTTGAAATTTATAAAACTCTTTCATAATCAACCTATAAACATGTTAAAAAACATGATAAGCAATTAATGCACCGGATAATTACATAACTATAGGGGCATTAATAAGCATTGTATTATATAAATTTAAATAAAAAGATTTTAATAATCTTTAATTTGACACATATGATTACATATTGTTTTGCATTAATTACACAACTATAGGGGCCAATTTGTCATATATTTATAGTATGAGGCTGCAATATGTAAATTACCCCACTTTTCTCCTACTGATTAGGGGATCTGTTATTGACCTATTCCCCGTTTCTTGCCGTTAAAATCCATCAAACCCTCCTTCCATAAGCTGTTATATCTCTCTCTCTCTATCTCTCTCTCATCGTCAATGGCTCTTCCATTCTACTCCAACTGGCCAACATTCCGGCAAGCCCACCACCATGCCACCGCCGTCCCTCTTCCCCAGCCACCACCGGAGCACTTACCATTTCACGACAACTTTGCCCTTTCCGATACTTGCATCAACCCAATGCTCCACTTAAACCGCCACTTCTCAGGCTCCTACAATGGCAATCTTGCATTCAACAATGGCATCAAATATCCAACTTTATCATCGTCTTATAATTCACTTACCACCCAACAACATCTCTTAAATAATCCGCCATTACCGGAGCTTTCTCAAATTTCCAGTTTTACCCATGAATGGGAATGGCCACTGGTTCCTAATGTATGTGATCATGACCAGTTCTTTTCACTGAACCCCATGGTGGAACTGCCTCCGCTGCCGGAAATCTACCCGGATTGTGGTTCTGATACACTCATGCCTCCGTCGTATGACGGTGGACAAGGGAATGATAATATTATGGAGGTTGAGGAGAGAAGTAACGTGCAAGTGAAAAAGCAGAATGGCGGTGGAGGGCGAAGCTTATCCGCGCAGAGTATGGCTGCGAGGGTGAGGAGGAGGAAGATAAGCCAGAAGACATTAGAGCTCGGGAAACTGGTTCCCGGTGGTCATCGGATGAGCACGGCGGAGATGTTTCAGGCGGCCTTGAAGTACATCAAGTTCTTGCAAGCTCAAGTTGGTGTTCTTCAACTCCTGGCCTCATCTCCGGTAATCCACCACTTCTGCATTTTCTTAACCATATATATATATATATATATATATATATATATATACATGAGGTGGTTCATTATGCAACTTTTTACATTCCCACAACCTTTATAGTGTGCATTTGATTATCAACGGTTACCATTTGAACGGTTGTACTTACCTTTAATTAAAGAAAAAACTTAAAAAACAAACGGATAATAGATAAATGAATTGCATCGGTTATATAATTTAGAGGGGTTGTATTTGAAGAGTGGATGTGTGTGTATAAATATAAAGGCTAAATTACAAAGATATTCTAGTTATGCCGTCTAGAAAAAGGATTACAAAACTAAGAGGGTGATTTTGTAAATCAAAAGGTTATAAGGGCTAAAAATGAATTTTATTAAATGTGCAGGGACCCAATGAAGAACTCCAAGCTTTGGTGACATCCCCATCCGTACAAGAGAAGCTATACGCTGCGGAGAAGTGCATTGTAACCCAAGCCTTAGTCCATGATCATCAAGAATAAACGATGTTTAACAAATTGAGTAGTAGGTGAATCTGACCCATCGTTAACATGACCCTCTTTTGTGAAAATTCTTAACCGTAGGATAATAGTTGTGTTTTTGTTCATAGGGAATTATATTTATTTAGTATTGTATGTCAGTTACCTATTAAGAATATAAATGTACTGATCGACTTTGGTTATTTATGTTATTGTTCATTTCATTTGGTTTTGATTTTGATTTTTATATGAAGATGTATCGACTTAAATTATTACTTCTCGCATTTGGACCATCTGACTAACTTTTGATTAAAAATACAATAAAATCCATGCCTAGTTCCACTTCTTTCTTCGATCAAAAAATACAATAAAATCTTGCTTTAGTGGATAGAAAATCATAAAAAAACAGAAAGACAGACATAAAGATACCCAAACTCGTTGTTGCCATGAAATCAAATCCTTAGTTTGAATTATAAAAAAATCTAGATCAAACCCCAAATTGGCATACCATTCTCCATAGATCCTCCTTTGCTTACCCCATAGAAATGTCTGCAAATAGATTCCACAAATGTAACATCTCTTTGTGTCAAAGTGAAAAGTTTTTTTAGTAAAAACACTTCATCGCTCATATGTAGTATCCCACGGAGTCCACAGGGAGAATTATGGTTCCTTCCTAGAGTTAGATGATCAAGACAGAGAGAGAAAGGTGAGAATAGAATGGGGAAGGGGAATAAGGGGTCATTTAGGGATGATGGAATGATCAAAGATATGATCTTTTCGAACTTTGTTGAGATTATGGCAATAAATATTCTTGCAATTATTGCTACTGCCACTTTTCATTTGGTTCCTATTGCTTTTCTAAGGGGAAAACAGAGGCCATTGGGGAGGAGATGGGTGGTGATACTTCTGATTGTTGGTGCTCATTAGAGTTGGATTGAGAGAGGGAAGAGAGTGTTGTTGGAGTTGTAAGAGATAACAAGTGGCAGATTTTGGTTTTGCCTACCGATGTTCATCAAAGGTGGAACGAGAGATCAAGGGATGCAGATTTGGGTTTTGTAGGTGAATTTGAATCTCGAAACTTTATTCCAAAATCAAACTCAAACCCTCAAATCTGAATCTCGAATCAAACCCTCATTTTGTATCTCAAATCAAACCCTCGAATCTGAATCCAAAGATGAACCATCAAGGTGGCCGAACCCTCTCTCATCTCCAACCATGATTCAGAAACAACTAGGCATGGGGATGGGGTGAGGATGGGGCGAGGACCTCAATCCCCGTCCTCGATTACTTATCTCTATCCCTGTCCCTGCCGATGAATATGATCACATCCCATTTCCATCCCCAATGGGGAAACGGAGATTTTTTTTTCCGTTTATGTAAATTATTTTAAATTAAATATGTGAGAGGTCATACATATTTAAATCTCAAACATTTTCACTAAATCTAAAACCAAAATGAATTTAATTTAATACAAAAAAAAATCAAAACATCATATAAGAACTAATAACCTAAAACCAAAAACAATTCAATTTAATACAAAAAAACTTAAAGTCACATGTACCAAAAGATATTGAATAATATAAAACCATATCGAGTAATATACAAAACTTATCGAGTAATTGTATTTTGACTTGACATCCAAAATATCACATTTTAACATCCAAAAAATAACAATTTTAGATTATAAATCTAGTTAGGAAATAGGAAATTATGAATTGCGGCTTTAGTTGAAATAAATTATATATATATATATATATATAGAGAGAGAGAGAGAGAGAGAGGATAGATCAAATAAAAACCGCCCTCATTTGTGTAAACCATACAAACCAATCACATCAATCTATTTTCTTGATCAATGGTCAAGATTAGATTAGTTTATATTAGGAAATAAAAAAAAAATTTATTTTTTAATTGAAAAAAGGGCAAAAATGTAAAACATCAAATATCATTAACCGATGCAACAAGATCTTGTATATCCTAATATTAATGAAACAAAATCATTGTTTTAAAAACTATATATATCATCTTATACTTCCAAATATTCTAACCAAAAATGTTAAAATAATCTTGAAAATTAAACAAGTTCATCCATGAACGTGTTCATTAAAAATTATTGTTTTAATGAATGAAATGGTTTCACCGTTTCCTCAATATACAAATCAACGTATTTCTAGAGAGACATCTGTCATTTTTTTGTTTTTCAGAAGATGGATCCATTTCAATCTTACTATGAAATATTTTCATTATTTGCCAATTACACACTATGTTCTTAACATTAACATATCAACTATTTACAATAACCATTACATGAACCTGTTTTACAATTATAACCATTAAAAGTAATGTATCCACCATACCATAGAAATTCATAACTATTAAGTGAACAAGATCACCCGAATAAAAAAATGAAACGATTTCATCAGCAATTGTTGCCAAGGAAACAAGATTATCCAAGAACATATTTCGTATCCTAGTAAATTATGTAACAATTTCATCGATAATTTTTTTTCTCTGAACACGTTTCATTAAGTTTCTGCATTCACCATACCATACCATACAAATTCATAATCATTAAGTGAACAAAATCACCAAAAAAAAAAAGCAATTGGATGAAACAATTTCATCAGCAATTGTTGACAAGGAAACAAGATTATCCAAAGAAATTACATTATGCAACAAGTTCATCCATAAAAGTTTCATTAAACAACTTCATCCATAAACGTGTTCATAAAACAATCTGAATACGTTTCATTAAATTGTTTTCCTTTTTCCAATTAAATTACTGCCCTTTTTCTAAAAGGAACATATTTTCGTATTTTCGTAAATTATGCAATAATTTCATCGATAAAACTTTTGATATATGAACAAGTTTCATTAAATTAATGCATCTACCATACTATAGAAATTCATAACATTAAGTGAACAAGATAACCAAATAAAAAATGAAACAATTTCATCAAACAATTTCTGATTTTAAATTTTAATTTCTTTAATCCTTATAATCCCGAAACTAAATTAAACATATTTAAATTTTTAAAAAACTAAATTAAGAAAACCAATTAAATCCTAACATATTTAATGTAACCACTTATTATGTTTCTAAAATTAACAAATTATAATACCTTCAATTATTAATCAAAAAACAACTTAAATGACAATTAGCCCCTTATTGATTAAAATTAATTAAAAAACAACAAAATTTTCTTATTGGTCGAAATTGGTTTGCATGGTTTTTAAGAATTGAGCGGTTTTCAACGTAACCCGCCTCTCTCTCTCTCTCTCTCTCTATATATATATATATATATATATATATATATGTAGGCTCATTAAGGGAAAACTGACTAGTTTGTGGTAACCATGAGATCCATTCTCAACCACAAATCAATAGATAAATTAGAAAATCTATAATTTTGGTAATTTTGAATTAAAATTTTAATGCAAGAAAATTTTAGGTATTTTCTCTCCTCTCTTCTCTCTCCGACCTCCGGCCACCGTCCTCCGGTGATACCTAAAAATATTGACTCTGTTAAACAAAAGGTACAGTGTGATACCGAAGCACATATAAGATGCATTGTGATATCACTGTGTTACATCTCCGATCGATCACACAAACGACCTCAGTGTGATACCCAAGCACATATAAGATGCATTGTGATACTACTGTGGTATCACCGGAGGACGGAGGCTGGGGGACGGTGGCCGGAGGACGGGGGACAGAGAGAGAAGAGAGGAGAGAAGAGATAAAATTGTTGGATCTGAATTCGACTTTGGTATTGATCTAACACTCTAATCAAGCTCTAAAACGATTGAAGTGCAGCGGAAACATTAATATGAGCAAAACAGAGTAAATGATTGGAAATACTAAACACACCAAGAACACACAGTTTCAATGAAGAAGATGAATGCAAGAAGATTGCTCCAAAGGTTTTTCAATTGATTCAATTRAAAATTTTGACGATTACAATACARSAAGCACCACTKATTACAAAGGTCCTATCCGYTATTTATACTAGTTCCTAACGACCTTAGAGACAAGATGTTGACTAGTGTCTTCATCTGAGCCGTCCAAATAAAGTCGATTAAATCCTAGTCACGTGAAAAGCACATGCGGCTAACAACCTTTGAAAACTGGTGGAACAGAAACTTCACAGAAGACCAAATCCGCAGACCCTCTGTGAGCCATCTCAGAGGCTCTGCTGTAATTGACTTGCGTGTTCTTTTTGACAGAGGACCATTTGCCAGAACCTCTGTGAGACACATTAGAGGTTCTGTCACACTTCACTTGCTCGATCAAACGACTTCTGTCGCTTAGTCCTCTGTTGTCTTCTGTGGAGTTATCCTTCTGTCAAGACTTGCGATATACTTTTTCTATACTTTTACAAGATAGGAATAATGGAGCTAACAATCTCCCCCTAAGTATGAAAAATAATTTTGGACAGTTAGGTGAAAGAATTGACTTATGAAAAAATACAAGAGGAGATTAATCTCATCCTCTGAAAAAGAATTACGTAACTGAAAGAATTAAAAGATAGTGCAGGCCAATACTATTACAAGAGTTTACTCAACAGCAGAGTCTGGATAATCGTCTACACCATATTGGAAATCAGTCTTGACCGTCTTGTAGACTTTGAAGATCCATTCTCTGAATGAGACTTGTATCTTGATCATTTCCAGAAGGTCCGTTACTTCATCCGCCCTTATTCGCCCTTTCTGCACCTCTGCCACCACCAGGTTGAACACCCATTCGAGGGACTCTGTAGAATACTTGTGCGCCTCTTTCAGATAAAAGAATCTTAGGATATCATCCTTATCCAAGAAAACAAACCCAAAGATGGGATTATGGATAATGGTGTTAGGATGGAACCTATGCAGCCAAACGGGTCTGTTCTTCGAAGGAGTGATCTTTAGCTCTGGCTGGGCCAACCTCATAGCAATGTCGAAGTCTTTCTGGCTGTAGAATTTGACTTGGGCATGCATCACCTCAATCAGCCTTCTGAGAGAAATCGAGTAGCTTGACCTCCTCT